GGAGAGAGGCCTTTTCGAGGAAGGCTCCGGCTCTACGACCAACAGGTCTCCACATCACCTAGAGCAGCGTTTGGGCGTTGTGGGCACAGGAGTGTTCCCCAAGGGAATCACGGCTCCCAGAAACGCGTCAAGTCAGGTTTTATATCAGCCTCGCGTAGAGCTTTGTGGAGAGCTTACGTAAACATGTGAAAATCAGCATGATGTAATATTAAATTCGGAAAATTGGATTGAAATGATGTCCTGGAGTAAATATAACGGGGCTGGTATGAAAATTTGGCACAGATGAAGCATTATTCATGTAGCGTTCCTGTAGCGTTTTGTTGGCAAAACGATGCCAGTAAAATACTACGGCATGTGTTGGCACGGGGCAAAACGTGTCTTAAAAACAAATTGCCATCCCGCCAGCAAGTAATTAGGCTCGTGTAATTAAGGCCTCACTCTTACGGCGCGTTTAAGGCGTCTGAAGTCAGTGTGTGCCTCGCGGGCCCCGGGCGTTGCAGCGGGATCCCATGAGCGCCGGGAGGATCAGGAGCTGCTGCAGGGAGGTGTCCCACAGGATAGGGGAGTGGGGAGACGGGGTCCATCGTGGGGGGGAATGGGGAGACGGGGTCCATCGTGGGCCTCTTCAGCCTCTCTTCTCCCTTTACCAGCGAGGAGGTTGCGCAGCCTGTTTTCTCATAGACACCCAGCGGTGATAATTAATCACAGCTGCCTCGGAGGTGAAAAGTTCCTTGCGAGTGCTAAGTTTAAATGCATTCCTTAATCAAAAATGCATTAAGGTAAAAAAGGAAAAAAAAAAGAAAGAAGTTGTAAAGTCATGCGTGCCAGATCTTTGCCATTGAGTAAGCTGCTGCTTTTTCCCTCTAGCAAGAATGGGTACACCTGGAGTCTCTTGGGATGTTGTGTGAGGTGATGTGGGCAGCTTTTGCCTTCCATGCTGTGGCCTTTGGGTTAATCATGTCTGGAGCTGCTCTTCCCTCATGTCCCACATCAGAGAGCAGGCTCTGGCCTTCCTTGCCAAAACCTCTTTGGCCGTGTGGCTGCAGCAGGCCGCGAGCGTCCCCGAATCACGGTGCTCCAGGCGCTTCCCACGCGGCCTCGATGCCGGGGCGGCTGCGCGGCGCCCGTGGGACGCGGCCTCGAGGGGCGAGTTGTGGCACCAATAGCGTTTGTCCCCTCAACACGTCGGGCACTGCATCAAGAGCTGCTCCTGAAGGCTGTGAACTGAGCTTGCCAGTGGCTTAAGTGGCTTCCGCATGTCAGAATTAAGAGAATTAAAGTGCTTGGGGTGCTATAACTTGTTTCCATGACAACAAATTCCCTCCTTTTCTCAGGATTTTTCTCATAGTATGGATATATTGCCAAGAAGCAAACCCCTTAACTTTTTTTTTTTTCCCTAAATTAGTGCTTCAGGTAGTAAGAGCATTAAGCTAAAACGAGACAGTAAATGGTCATCAGCATTTCGATGACTGTGTGTTTTATGCCTCGTGTCTTCTTGTGCAACTGGAGATTTCTCGACTGAGCAAGTCAATACGGCTTTTGTTCAGTGGTGTTAGGGAGAGTTTTGCTAGCTTAAAAGAAGTGGGCATAATTACTAAGAGGGGTTTTGTGCAGTGTGTACCTGTGGTAGTTAAAGGGAAAGCTGCTGAAATTTATTCTGACAATCGCAGCAACAGCGCTGAAGGAATCATTTGAATTATTCATTGTGCAGCAAGGAAACGTCCCGCTTGTCTTCGCTTTAGAAATGAAAGCCCAGCCTGATTTAAATATACTTTTAAGGGTTGGATTTTTTTTTTTATTTCTTAATTTGTGCCATTTCAGGACTTTCGTAGACGCCTGTGAAAGCAGATTCTTAAAGAAAATTCTTCTGATTTCTAAAATAGGGGAGAAATGTATTTTGTAAATACACTGCTTCTTGTGGAGGTTTAATGAAATTCAGCTTTCTTTCATAAATAATGCAACACTTGCATTTGATTAGGTGAAGCCTAGAGGAATTTCTACCTAATCAGATACATGACAAGAAGAATATTGCCTGCAGACTGTTACCATTATCAATGGTGGTGGCAAGGAAAATGCAGATCTGCATGTGTCCACATGGAAAGTACTGCTTCTTAAGAAAAGTTATAAAACAATATATACCTTTTAACCACTTTTTATTTTATTTTTATTTTTTTCATCTCAGAATGTCTCAGCTTTTCGTAAAACAAGGTCTGGGTTCTGAGTAGTATTATTATTGTGGCAGGAAGGGACTCTAGGTTAGCCAGAGCTATCCTTTCCAGGTAATCTGTTTTTGACTTTTCCAAGAAATAAATACACAGGGGAAGAGGGAGCCTTTGCATCAGAGAGCCTACAGTCAAGGTAAGCTAGGTAGCAATGGGAAACCTTTTGGGTTGGATTCCAAGAGTCTTGAAAAACAGCAGAAGCCTCCCAGTAAAAGTACATGCACATGCTTCCTTTCATTGGAATTAGAAATTGTGACATACTGCAACATACAGCAAAAAGGGTGCAAAGGAATTTACAACTGGTATATCTACATTTTTTTTTTTTTTTAGAAATGCTTTGAGAGTTCTTTGGTAAACGTTGCTTTAATTAGTTATCTGTGGTTAGTTTTATGATGTTCTGTAAATCTGGCCATGAGACTTTGTTCTACTACATTTTTATGCCCAGAAAGCTGCTAACAACTGCAGTGGGTATGCATGAAGAGAAGGTAGATGGAGTAAGGCCGCTAGTCCTGGTCAAGATCATATTAAGCAAGAAAAGGGACCATTCCCTGAGCTGGCCTGCAGTCATTCACATGGCCCTTCCCCTACTGCCGTAGGAAAGTCATATTCCAAATAAGATCATAAGGAACTGAAGCCCAGCTCAAAAGCCCAATGCCACTGTCTTATCTCAGTGTTTAGGATTTTCTCTTAACATGTGTTTGGATGTATAAAACTGCAAATGTCGTAAATTCTTCAGGCCAGATGCTAAGCTGGTTTAAGCTGACAATTTGTGCTAGCTGAGGTTCTGGTTTCTCGCTTAGGTTTCTTGGAAAGGGCAATGAGACATAATAAGTAAATCTAAAACACAAGGATACATGGGAGATGTATTTGCATCCTGTGATTTCCTGTCAAGAGGTTTTAGCACTGGGCTCAGTACTGTATTTATGGAGCTGCTGGTCAGAATTCTGCACTGTAAAGGTGAAATCAGTTCTCTCTTGTAATCTTAATTGAGTTTTCATTCCTTTCCAAAACAGTTCAAGCAAATCCCCTGTGCCTAAAATGTCATGGGAAAACTAATAGCCAGGAGGAGAATTAATTTCTGAAAGTTTAAGAGCAAAAATATCAGGTTCAGGGCTGTAAAATGTTAATCTGTTTTTGACTTTCCCAAGAATTATCTGAAATACTTCTGGCCATTCATAACTCACGCTCCTTTGTTCCAGATTATTAGATTTTTTTTGTTATATGTAAGTACTGATAAAAAGTAATACATGCTTCTGTCATAGCCAAAAGAAAAAAGAGGCTCAAAAATATAATTTCAAAACCTTTTAAACAGAAGAAATACCAAAAAGGCTGAGCCCTCAGTTATTTGCCCTAAGATTGATGGGACCTTCTTCAGTCAACATCCTGCCAAGGTCCCACATACTGATACATCCCACTCAGCGAAGACCAAGCAAATTTTGTCCTTTCCCTTGCTCTTCCTGTGGGAAGGCCTCGTCAGGCCTCGCTGAGCAGCCTCAGGGATGAAAAGTGTTGCTGGCTGAGGGCCACCCAGTGAGCAGTGAAGATGCTGCTGGGTGAACAGTTGTGCAGCTGGAGAGCACCAGTGCTTAAGGCAGCAGCTTGCACAGGTAGCCTGCCCCTGAGTGCCTGCAGCAGAAGTGTTACCTCTGCAAAGGGGATGTTATCTCTGCACGGGGGTTGTTGGCATTGTAGCGGTTGTTTTTTAATTATTTTTAGTTACTATGCAAGGTGGTCATTACATTTATCTTTTGTTAAAATAGGCTACATTTTTTTTTAAAAAAGCCACCTCTTTGAACATCCTCTTCTCAATTCTGTGGCCCAATACTTGTCTTCTAGGCTTGGTGTGGGTCAGAGAAAGAATCTGGGGACTCCTTTCTTATTTATTTGTAAAAGCACTCCAAGTTCGTTATCAGAGCATGTCCCCTTCTCTCAGGGGACATACACATTCCCATCCTCACCCCACATCAGACCCCTGCCAGAATCACTTATGTGCTGTGGAGCTGTAATGTGACTGAGGCCAATGTTGCAGTGATGTTTAAAATGCTGATTTTTTCATGGTACTTAAGTACAGAAGATCCCAGAGCTGAACTGACATAATGAAAAACTGCAGGTAAAATCCCCATGGGAAGACTTAGATTCAGAGCGGTCTTAAATTTAAGAGTCAGACTGAGCTGTAGAGCCTTAATCTCTTCTGCCTACGTTAATTGCCTCTCCTCAAGCCGTACTTTGGACTGTCATAGCCAGCTACTTTGAACATCATTATCCGTATCAATTCCCAATGAATTACAAAGCTGTTATTGATATTTTACAAATAGAGACCTAAAGCACAGAAAAGTCAAATGATTTGTTGTGGTCCAAAGAGAAAATCTACAGAGGCAGCGGGTTTTGAGACTGGATCTTCTCAAACTGAAGCCTTGACCATCTTCACAACTTCCTCCCTATTATGATTAAAATGATCATCTGGAGGACTTCAGAGGGAGAACCACTGTGCACTGTTTCATAACAGAACATATCTGCTTACATAGCCTCCCAACTTGACTGAGATTTCCGTAGGCTACTACAGTGTGTTTATTTCATGGGTGTCATAATGAACTTCAGTTTTCATCCTTTTATGATGCTAAATCTAACCCTGATCATTTCCACCTCTAGTGTTGTCTGGTGGAAAGCCTGGGGAAGAGTGTCTTTCCCTTTACTGAGTGCAGAACTGCAGTGGTGGAGGGTTGAGCGACGTGAGCTTTGTTTGGCAGTGCCCATGACTGGATATTTCCATTTTTGCAGGCTGTATCCTCGTCATGCAAGTGCTCTCAACAACCTGGGGACATTGACCAAAGATGTGGTGGAAGCAAAGGACTATTACAGACGGGCCCTCCAGTTAAACCCGCAGCACAACCGTGCGCTGTTCAATCTCGGCAACCTGCTCAAGTAAGTTGAACACAGAATTCATGTTCTCTCTATGCAGATCACCAAAAAAGGGTTTTTTCCCAGCTGATCAGGAAATGATCTTATTGGCAGCCAAGACTGCCAGTGCAGAAACAAGGCTTAGTTTGGATGCTCATCATCTATCTGCCAGGTCATTTCAGGTGCTGCTTGCCATTGTGCTTAAACTTCAGGGAGTTCACCTGCTCCAACATAGGCATCAAAAAATGGGATACCTAAAACAAAACTGGCCACTTGGGATTCTCACCTCAGTGGGAAGCCTTTTGAGGAGAGCAACTCATGTCATTCAAAGAGAATCGTCTGTTGCAGACCTAATGAATAAGGAAATTCTCTCTTGATGTTCCAATTTCTCATCATTAGCTGAAAAAGGAAGGTCAGATGTGTAGTTTAGGCATAAACACCTATATCTGAGATGCTCAGAGCAGGATATGGTTCATCCCTGTGGGAGAGGAGATGGTGTGGACTGGAGGGGAAGGTAGGCTTACATCCCTGCGTTGGTACTCTACCCAGTTAGAACATGAATTAATCAGCTCATAATTTAACTCATCATTATTTAGATTGCCTTTGTGTAACAAGGACAATATTAGACAATCATAATCATGCAAATTAGTTTGAGTAACTATTTCTGAAGTCAGGTATATGTAACAGTCTTTGTCATATGACCTAGAGATGCAATCAAAAAAAAAAAAAAAAAATTTCTGTTCCTGCACTAGTCTTCTGCACAGGCAAAAGTAAAAACAACCCCCGATTTTGTCCATTCATCTTATTTTGCTAGAGAAAATGTAGACTGCAGCAGTGAAAGTACATTTTTGCTGATATAGACTGCACCTATTTTTTAGAGGAATGTTGCTTGTAATAGTTCTCTAGAAAACCTTTTATGGTAGGTCTGTCTTTAATGTTGGGCTGCTTCTAACATGACACTGTCTCATCAAAACATACTTGATCTCTCTGGTTCTCAAAAGTCACTTTCATTGTGAGTTTATATGAAAGACATTAAGCAGTTTGCTGAAGATCTATCTAGCCTGTTGGCTAATGTATAACATTACAAGTAACTGTGATTGTTGAGTTAAAATATGGCAGATGAGTAACCCTCAAATAAAAAATAGGCTAATGCTTTACTGGAAATACAGAAAAAGGAAAATGGTAAAGACAGACTTATTACAAGAGAGATGGAATGTGTTTGTATTATTCATCAGGTTGGATTGCCTGAAATTAATCCTGGAAGGCAAGGTAGTTTAAACATATATATTGTCCTTTTAATCCATCACGTTTGCCTTAGCTTTATTCTCTGCATATATATATATATATATATTTTTTTTTTGGTACAACATATTAATACTAAGGACAGAATCCAGAAGGATCAGCAGGACATCCTGTGTTGGTAGCACTTCAGTCTGGTCTGCTGGTGGGCTCTGGCAACCCAGCAGATGGGCAGATTTGTTGAGCCTGCAAAGCACACCAGAAGCACCTGGGAAATTCTCCTAGAACTGCTGTTTATACTGTGTGCAAAACATCATGCTTTTCCTAAGGTGACATTTAAGATACTGGGTGTCCCATCAGATTGTGTACACTCTTCATCCTTCTGTAATGCCATGTAGAGCTGTACGTAAAGGTGTGCGATACTCATTTCTGCTGCGCTCTTAAACAAATGCACTCAGGTGTCACCCCCAGCTTTTTCTACACCCACTCAATACTATTATTTCAATCTTTTGGGGGCTTCAAAGGCAACCTATTGCATCTGGACACACTAATAGTATTAACTGTAATGGAAACCAGGTGTCTTCATCTCCCTCCTTTAGAAAAAAACCTACAAAACTGCACAGAGTCCTTGGTGGAGGGATTAGCACACCCGGACACCAAATGCTGTGCGGTTGCATCCTGCAGGGATGTCTCCCCTTGAGCGTTAGCCCTTCTCTCAGGTCTGGTTTCCTGCACGTTTCCTGGATCGTAAGACAAATTCACAGGGATCATCTGCCGTGCTACAGCTTTAGGTGACTCGCAAGAGGACTAAATGGAAACTAGATGGAGATTCCAAACTCACCCTGCCTGTGACTTTGTGTCCATTTTGTACCTAGCTCTCCAAATTACCTTTTTATTCAACCTAATGTGGAGCATGCACCAAAGCTGTGATCTGCTGGAAAGAGAGACTGGTTCCATGCTGTGTATATAGGGCAGCTGGTATTCTGCAGACCCTAAATGCATATAAGTTAAGAAACAATGAAGGTATGCAGAATATTACAAGCTGATATTACTTTCTGGCTGTGCTATGAGGCATTGTGAAGGGTGTTTCAGTTTTTAAAATTATGGCCTTAGAAAGGATAAGAGGTCAAGGCCTAAAAGCATTTTCTGTCCTCTTTACAGTTGTTTCAGTGACTATACATGGAATAGATTGGGAGAGCCAGCTCTGCAGTACTTAAGGCATGTGCAATAACAACATTACTTATGTGAGGACATGTAATGAAACTGTCTGGAATGGGGAATTCAGACGCTTATTTTGTAGAGTTCCATATCTATTTCAGTTTTTAGTGTGAAAATTTGATTGCAAATATTAAATTTCACTGCCTATGAGGTTTGAGAAAGGGAAACTCAGGGATTTTGGAAGGATGGGTTTGCTCTTCCCATGTGGGAATCTGCCTCTCATTATTCCGTGGAAATACGCTGTCTTTTCAAGCAGCTGTTCCTTATGATTTAAGCTTGCATTAAAAAAAAAAAAAAAGAAAGAAAGTTTTGGAAAGCTCAGGGTGGAATCTTTAGTTTTTTTTTTTTTTTTTTCCCATCCTTGTGGAAGACCTAGATAAAAAAATGTTTTCATTTTCTGTTTGCACATAATGAAAATAGCTTGGTGCCAGAAGATGAATGTTGTCAGGAAGCCCTGCATGATAACGATAGAATAAGCCCCTGATTTTGTTTACATATTGTAAAATAAGTTGCATGTCATGATTTTCTTGCCTTATATAAATACTGGACAGTTTATAATTACACAACGTAGGCAGATTTCTTAAACAAGAAGACCCGAATGAATGGTCTATCTACAATGGAAGAATCACCTTCTCCCCTTTTTTAGTCTGTGATCAGTGACACAAAGTAGTCCGATGCTGCTTTGTTTAGTTTTGTTTTTAAGCTTCATATTATGTAAATATTTAGCTCATATATACATTTAGTTTTGCCGAGATACAACTCGAAAAACTGAGATATATATGGATCATTCAGAATACCTCACATAACTTTATAGCCTGTGGGATATTCTGTAAAGAGACAAGAAATACAATATTATGAGCATTTGATGTAAATATTTAGCTCATATATACATTTAGTTTTGCTGAGATAGATACAACTTGAAAAACTGAAATATATATGAATCATTCAGAATACCTCACATAAATTTATAGCCTGTGGGATATTCTGTAAAGAGACAAGAAATACAATATTATGAGCATTTGATGTAAATATTTAGGATCTCAGCTTGCTATTGCAGAAAGGATGGGAGGGAACTTATTCTTTGCTGCACTGTGTCTATCCATATGTAAAATACTCTTAATACTCAGTACAGCAGTTCTTATGAAGGAAAACCTCGTAACTCTTACATGCACTGAGCATGTTAAGACTGCATTACTTCAAGGGAAAAGAGAAATGTCTAGAAAAAGTATTCACTGACATATTGTGTTTAATCAGAGGACTTTGTAGTGAATGTAGAGCAACACACAAGGTGTTGAGCGCATTTTCTAGCGTGATCTAATTCAAGTTTAGCAAACTCCTCTAGTCACAGGACGGACTGTTTTGGCGGTGGTCCCTCTTGGTGGCCCTCCACTGGGCTTCCTCCAGGATGTCCGTATCTTTCCTAGAATGGGCAGCCCAAGGTGAGACATTTCTCCAGTTGTGTTCTCCCACGTGTTGAGTAGAGGGGAGATCACCTCCCTCAACCAGCTGGCTACTTTCTAGCCAGCCCCAGTCTGTCCTGGGGGTTATCCCACCCCAGGCGTAGGACCTGCCTTTGCTTTGGTCAAACTTTGTGGTTTTCTTTTGAGTCTGTTTCTCCAGCCTGTGCTGATCCTTCTGAATAGCAGCACTGCCTTCAGCATAGCACTTGCTCCTGCCAATTTGGTGTCATCCACATGGTGTAAATAAATGCCAAAGGAATTAAATAATCTGAATTAAATAATTGTTTTTAACAGAAGGAGTCAAGCAGGTTTACTTTCGGATAGGTGTAGTTGGATGACAGGAAAGCAAAATCAGATGATCAGAATAGTTATGGGGCCCCTACTGAGTTCTGTGTTTCTGGCTTACCTGCGGTAAGGACTAACTTAACAAAGTAGGACAAATCATCTTGAGAGTTAAAAAGCACACAAGGACACTGTTTCCCAGGCTGCTCTTCCAATCCTTAGCTCCAGTGCTAACAGCCGTGCACAGACCTCTAGCTGGTGTTTCTCAGTCTGAGGGTCCCTTGCAGAATTAAGGAAGAGATGCTCCTGGTGGGAAGAGCCATTCCTTACATGCTGCTGGAACATGATAGCTGAGAGGAAAGCTGGGGGCACGAGTGGCAGCGGGAATCAGGAGAGGACATTGTAAGGCAAAGTAATTTGGGGAAAAATGCGGAGTAAGTGATCACAGACTCCTCCTGTCAGGTGAATTTGTTCCTCTCTCTCTCTCATAGTGAAGGCCTGTATTACCCAGCTCTTCCTGCTGCAGATACCCGATTCATGGTAAATTAGTGTATCGCACTGGTCTCCCAGTGCTCTGTGCTCTCCCAGATTACATCAGATTTATATGGGCCATGGCCTCGATCCTGCAAAGTGCTGATTATGCTGGCCTTGCTCCAGGAAAGCACTTCAACCAGTAATTAATTCTCAACTTGCATGCATAAAATTTAAGTATGTGTTTAAGTGCTTGGCCAGAGCCCTCGGTATCTTGCAGGCCTGAGCCCTCTTAGAAACTGTTGGGTCTGCTTATTTTAATATAATTCAGTCTGTCGGGTAAAAAAAGATGCCATAATCTTTCTCCCTCTACCCCTACTTTCAGGAGACAAACATCGTTATTGGGTCAAGCAAACAAACAAACAAACAAAAAAGCCATTTAGAAAAAAAAAAAAAAGGAGCAGTTAAGAGGGTTGCCCTGTGTGCAGAGCACATACTTGTGGTTAATGGGAACTTTTAGTGCTGCCGAGTGGATCTCTTAATCCTTTTATTTTTGTAGCTGGCATTTCCTACATTTTTGCCAAACATCGATGCCTTTTTAAAGCAGTCATCTGGTTTTGATTTATGAAAATGTGTCATGAAACTCCAGCCAAGGGATCCAAAAGTTTTGTAAATTGACAAGCTAGCTGATCTTTAATTAGTGTAGAGGAAAAGTGGTCCTTTATTTGTTTTTGTTTCACTTGTGTAATTTATACGGAGCAGCACTGAAGAAGGAAAAGACTAGCACAACTGGTTTTACTTAGCTTAATGCACAGGCAAAACATCCTTCCAGTTATATAACTAGAAAAGGAAAAAATCTGCAAAGCCACATATATTATCAGCTGAAATTTGCTCTTTATAAACAAGATATGGTTACCTGATCCTGTTGTTCAGATGAAATCCAAGGCAAAAGCAGCAAGGTGCTCCCATATTTTCTGTGTGCCAGAGTCCCTTGTTGCCTTTTGAAAGCTGTGCTATTCATTTTTCTTTTTTTGTATACACAGCACAAGGAAAATGTGAAAATGTTGTTCCTGTCAAAATAAGCATCCTTAGATTTTTGTCTGCGAAATTACTTTTTCCAAGGAAATTGTAGCTCCAATAATCATCCTTAGATGTTTGCTGGGGAAACCTTCTCCTTTTCCCAAGGCAAAAACAAAATAAGTGGAATAAGTTGGGGAGAATTGCAGCTCCTTATGGTAGCCATCCCTCAGATATCCCTGCTCATAATCATTAAGATCTGAAGCATGGACTAATGAAATTTAACCAAGACGTAAGTCTTGATATATAACAGCACTCCTTCTCTAGCAACACGCTCTGCCATGTTTTCAGCAAATGCACTTTATACTTTCAGGCCCTTTGGCTGGCTTGTCCTTTACATGTCCTTAAGTGCCAACTGGATGGATAAGGCAGAATGTTTGCTCTTTGGCGTGTGGTTTTGGGGAATGTACCGTTTTGGGGGGTGTTTTGCCTTTACTAGGATCATGACCAACGCGACAGTCACCAGCAGCCCAGCCCGGGCAGGTCCCTTCTGCTCCAGTCAGAAATGGGGAATCACTGCAGGGCGCCTAGGTGCTGCTCCAGGGACTTTAAAAACCTGTGTGTGGAAAGTGCATGGGGAAGCATATAAAATTTAGCAGGTACCCAGGGACTTCAACCCTTGCCTGCAGTGCCCTACGCTCCAAGAAGGGCCAAGGGAATTGCCCGGGCTTGGGCAGTGTTGATTAGTGGGATCATGGAGAGAAGATGTGAGTTAATAATTTAGCCTTTGCTGAAAAGGACAAGACAGGATATTTCACATTTCTTTAAAGTAGTTAATCAGTGGGTGACCATCTATTAAAGGAACTTTTCGTTCTCCTTCCTTTTTTTTTTTTAATTTAATTATTTCCTGTATTTTTTGGCATGCAGGTCCCAGGGGAAGAAGGAGGAGGCCATAATCCTGCTGAGGGACTCCATTAAGTACGGCCCGGAGTTCGCAGACGCTTACTCCAGCCTGGCTTCCCTGCTGGCCGAGAAGGTAACGGGTCTCATCCGTAAAAGCTCCTGGTCCCTGTGCGCGTGAGGCCGTGGCCGGGTGCCTTAGGAGCGCCCTGGCCTTGCACGTGGGCACTGAGCGTGGTCTGGAGACGTCTTCTGAGCTGCTCTAGAGCTGACTTCTTCACCATAGGAGGCAACTCGCTGAGTAATTGCACCCACCTTAGCGTGGCTTTGAAATGCTATTAAAGTTGTGAGTAAACATCCGTTTTGCAGCTCCCCATGTCTTTAGCAAAGGCTTGATCTGTTATTATAGTGTACTTAAGTGTTTGACAGCAGAAATGGGAGCCCTTCCTCCCGTTACATGCATAAATACCATGAAAATTTTAAAATAAAATACTCCAAGGTTAGGAAATATCTGAAATAAGGTTGGCTCTGCAGCCTGAACTGAGCCGTTTGTGTATGTGCATTAGGATGCAGCTCTTAATTACTCAGGTAGATGATCACGTATTGGAAATGGGAAGGTTCACTTGCTGGATGGGGCTCATTATGAGCAGCTGTTCGATATTTTATTTAATCTCATTGTTCAATATGTGGCCCTAGGTCTTATTTACTGCGCACCGTCCAGACTGTGCTCTGGAGGCAGGATTACTCGTTTCCTCTTGGGCTTTTTCCCCCTGCTTATTATTCTGGTCCCTTAGTACTCACCGTATGTTATGTAATTTATTTCTGCGAGTCCCCTGTGAGGTGAACTATTGCTGTTCCCACTGAAGAACACGGAAATGGAGACACAAAATGTTTGAGTTCAAACCGTGAAGTGTGAGTGCACATTTGGAGACTGCCAGGACTGGGTCGTGCTGCATCCTCCTGTCTGGGCCTCAGGAAATATCACCTTCCACTAGTCCAGTTAGCAGAATTAGTGAAAACCTCTCCCAAAAGGGAGGTAATTTAGTGTTGGCCAGACTGTAAGCAAAGGTCTTAACTCTGGTTTATTCTGGCTTCTTTAATGATAAGGGGCCCTCCACAAAATCCACCTCTGATAAATATGGGTTACTGAAAGGGGTTGTGCTCTTGTCTTTTAAGTGACTTTCAAATATTATCAGATGTACAGCTGCAGAAATCTAGAAATATAGCAGATGAATTGAAAGAAAAAAACTCACTCATTGAGATCTGTGATTTGAATCAACCATTTAATGAAGTCCCCTGCAAGTATAGGAAATGAGCTCTCCACAGTAATACGTGGTTTTAATACTAATTGAAGTAATTAATTAGAACCATCAGTCATAAGGTCAACAGTGCAATAAAAACATAATAGAGTCCCAAGGCCAGTTGCCCAAAGCAAATGTTGTTAGTAAGTCCAGCAATAATTCACCTACGCTTAGGTGTAGTTTGTTCATCCTCTTGAGGCTTGAGTGAGTGGAAGGGGAAGAAAAAAAGATAGAATTCTTACAGTTTCCTCAGAAAATAACAATTTCCTGCAGGCTTGTGGCAGCATCTTGTGCTCAGCCATAGCAGGGGCAAGTTGTTTGGTTTACAGAGCTGGTTTTCCTTCTGCTCGTAGCCCCGAGTTCTGCTCACACCTCTGCAGCTCTCCCCGCTGCCGGGCACAGTCATCCCAGCGGCTGCGTTAACCAGCTTTGAGGAAGGGAACGTGAACTAGTTCCTTCCCCTGGAAATGAGATGGAAAAGGGGCTGAAGTGCTGGAAGCTGCACGTTTAAATAACTCTCATGAAGTGACCACGAGTGCGACAAACTTCTGTTCCCCCAGCGCCGGGCTAAGGCTGCGAAGGGAGGAGGCAGGTGGAAGAGACCCCGTGGAGCAGTGTCCTGCTTGCCTTGTTGGTCCTGCCCAGTGTCTGAGAGCCAGTGCATGGTTCCTTTTCCTCTCTAGTTGTGAAAAATGCCATGCCAGGAATTCCTCATGCTCCAGGGAATTAGCCTGTAACTCAGTGTAATTGCCCTTTTCTCCCCTTGATAGTTGATTCTGAAACCAGAACAGACTTGGGGAAAAAGAACAACACACTGTATAGAACAGTTTGCCTGTTGTAAGTGCTTGTCCCTCCCTGCTTTTTCTCCTTGATCTCATAGCTCAGTCATGGTGTGTGGTTGTGTTCCATGACAGTCTGTTGCCATTTTGGTGCTGCTTATATCAGAAGTCAAACATTTTTGTTTGCTAGTTTCACGCTCTGGTAACACTTGGTTCCCTTGGCCTTGCTCTGACTTTCTTGAGTATATCTTCTTACCTGCTTTTAAGTTTCGTCAGCCATCTCAAGCTGCTCGATGGCATTTTCAAGTTCTTGCTTCTGGAGTCAAGTGTGTGTGTGTATATTTAATTTTTTTTTTGTAAGAACGTCAGCATACCCAAAGAGAAAGAAGCGTTTTAACCTAGCTGCAGAGGAAACCCTGCAGATGTGACTCAGACTTACCCAGACTGAAAAACAGCTATATAAAAAGCAGACTTAAAAACCCCAGAGTTCTTCAGATGCATAATTTTTTCTTTAAATCATAAAAATCTCATACATTTTTAAGGCAGCCTTCTGAGTTTTGTGAGCTTGATAAATGTTTCATGAAGGTCCGGAAGTGACATTATTAAGTGTTAATGAGAATCAAGCCTTGGTTATCTTACTGCATTTCTCCTGAGGAGAGGCCAGGCTGTGAGGGAGAAAGCTCTGGCACATCCTTCTTAATTCTTGACTGAACGCAACAGAAACACTTGGTTGGAGAAATCATTCCCGTCCGTGCTTGGAGCCTGCTGCATGCAAGGTCAGGATGTTAGATGCCAAAAAAAAAAAAAGTGTTTTACAAATTCATATGCAGTGTGCCAATGATGAAAGTACCTAATGCTACGTGCAGTGAGCGCGAGTACTTTTACTTAGGATATTGCTAATCCAGTTTGCACTTCCTTTTTTTGAGGATAGGATTTAAGACCAGTAAATTAAATGCAGGAAACTCTCATGCATGCATGCAAAGCCACGTATTGCAGGTGAAAATTATACTTAGAGGAGAAGAAATCAAGAGGGACATCTCTGAAAATATTCTGTTAATGTCTTTCTGACACAGATATTTTCTGAGAAAGCTGCTCATCGTGTTAGTCAGTTCTGATGACTACTACACTTTTCCTGACCCCGCAGACTAATGATGATAAATCCTTATGAATTTAGCCGAAACGTCCAAATTTAAGCACTTCTTAAAAATGTGTTTCTGTGTTTTATCACACACTATCTTTTCTGCTGGCTGACCTTTATCATATAAATGTGAAAGCATTTAACTGCGACAAACCATTTGCTTCCATCAAGTCATAGTCTTCAAATACTGTTAATCCCAGCTGTTCTGAAATAGGACATGAGGAAGGAACCCATGCATTTAAACAGCTACAGACCACATGCTGCTCTCGGGTGCACCTCTTAAATCTGGAGAGAGCCCAGCATGCTCTGAGATTTGCAGGTTTTGAGGCAAGGAGGGGTCAGAGCTGGGATAAACAGCAAAATCAGGTCTGTTTCCCACAGAGAATTAACAAAGTCAACTGAGAAAAGTTTTTTTCAAGGCCTGCCCTGGCTGCTAGAAGATGTCTTCGTCTCGCCTGGTGTGTGGGGTCCTTCTAGAGGATATTCTGGGCATGAAGCCCAGCTCCTTGGCAGGTCTGGGTTAGTGGCAACACTGACATCTCCTTCATTTCACTGTGGATTTGCCTCCCAGCCGTGAGATTTCTCTGGGTGTCCCAAGCCTATATCAGCAGAGCCCAGTGGCCAGTGTTGCCCAGGGCTTTGGGAAGAGGCCATGGGGGTTGTCCAGGAGCTCTCGGCACCTTCAAACCTCGTGGAAATCCGTGCAACATGCAAAGACTCAGCACATCTGAAAATCAGGCCAGTGGCATCCAGGCAGTCCCAGTGAGCTACATCTCACACGTTGACAAAACCTGCTTTTAATCTGGATCTCTCTGTTTTGCCCCACTTCCTCTTTGCCACTAATCCTCCTCCTCCTTCCCCCATTCCCTGCACTAGCTTGCTCTCTCCCCCAGTTGTCCCCAGGCTTTTGCTCCTTGTTTGTCCTTGTGGACACAAGCCACTTGAAAAGTAACCTTTTCCAACTGTTTTTAGTGCTTTGCAGGTAGCTCCAATTGCCAACATATGGATAAAAATGGTCAGAACTGCTGTGGGGCACCAGATAGCAGGATCTGATCTAATCACATCCAGGCAGGGGTTGTAATTTGGGCCTCCCCGAGGTCACGGCTACTGCCAGCGAGGGAGGTGGCCCCTGAGGTGCAGGAGGTGGCCCCTGAGGTGTTCCAGTACATGCAGGCCAGCAGCTGATGCCGACCCTGTTTCTGCCACAGCTAAGCCATATCCTTCTGTTTTAAGGAACGCCTCGAAGAAGCGGAGGAGGTTTATAAGGCCGGCATAGAGAATTGCCCGGAGAGCTCCGACCTGCATAACAACTACGGTGTTTTCTTGGTTGATACAGGTGAGTGAGATGAAGCGAGGGCTTTTCTCTCTCTGACTTACTTGCTTTGGTTTGTTTTATTTGCCAGTACACTTTAAAGAGATTGCCAGAATATTCCAGAGCTGTGGGCATGCTTCCACCGTGGCCTAGAAACGAATACCCCTGCTCTGCTGAGGTGGCGCAGTGTGCTGACATGTGCAGTCAAAGCAGTCGCCGGGTGGCAGTGGCATTCAGGCTCTTGCCTTTCCTGCGGCCTTACTCACCGTATTAGCACAGGCAGTCGCCACCTTTGAGCTGAGCTAGACGGCATCCCGACAGCGCTGCCGTTTCTCCAGGAAAGCCTGGCCACGTCAAACAACATCCCAGACACACGAACGGATCATTATGGTCGTTGGGGCACTTGCTGCTCTGCTTGGTGACAAAGCAGCTCTTTGACTGTGAGGGCTGCGTGCCACTGCTGTAAAACAAACATGGCTTTTAAACCAAAATCATCCGTGAAAACAAAACCTAAGATCCTGTGGGGTGAATTGATTTCTCAGGGGCTCCATAATGAAATACAAAGCCTTTCTCTGCTGGGCTGCTGGTTCCCATCCAGCTTCCAAGGACTCAGGCACTTCCTGGCATTCACATAATAATAATAAAAATAAATTAAAACACGCTGTAATTGCCACTTTCAATGACAACTTTATAAGCAAGTCCAAGTTTGAATGGAGAAACTACTAGTAGAAACCAACTATTCCTTTACCCACATCCCTCCAGAACAGAGCTGAGAGCCACTGATGAAGCTTTGCAGGCTTAGTGAGCACTGCTGCCACCAAGTCTGCCCCTGTCACACAGCTCCGGGCTCTGGCGATGCTGGGGAAGAGGGCAGTGCCAAAGAGCAGTGTCCGTCCTTCTGCAGGTGGTGTCCTACCTCCGAGCTGATGCTCGGCCATCCTTCTTCTGTGCTACAAATGTGAAACAAAGAAGAAGCCAAAATTGTGAATATGTGTAATTAGAAAAAGGAAACATGGTGTTAGGGACAGATGAAGATTCTACATTTCCATCCAGCCCAAATTCAAACTTATTAATAAAAGGTCTGTAATTCCACTCTGATACTGCTGCTTTCGGCTTCCCAACCCAACTAAACTGCTGTGTTCTTACCAAAATTATTTATTCTGCTCTAGTGTACCCCACTTGATTTTTTCACTTGTGTATCCTGCCAAAGTGAAAACTATTTTTGGGTTTTGTTTTTTACTGCATAGTCCTACATACAACTAGGTTCTTGTTGTGCCTCCCTTAATGACCTGTGTTACCCCCATGTGTTTAACAGCTGAGGCACTGGCTTAGGTGCATGCCCAGCTGCTTCCCAGCATGTTTTGTAGATACAACTTTCAAAAACATCTGTCTGCTCAGCAGCAGGAGCAGAATGAGGTTGCTGCTGGGTATTTTAAAGAATCCTACCTTGAAAGATACATTGTTGGCCTTTCAAATCCTAAGTGTTTCCGAGTTTTCTTACAGACATCTCTCTTCTCTCCTTCAGAGGGAAGACTGAGACATGTTAATGTTACTTTTATGTTGCGGAGGTAATCAAACTAAAAAAATCAAACTAAATCTGAAATGCTGCAAAAATAGAAATTCAGCAACATATGTTCAGTGCGCCACCAAGTACAGACCGTTTTCAAGTTCTCTTTTTTCCAGCTAAAAAATGCAATTAAGTACACTATAAATTTGATTTGACTTCAAAAATACTGATAGTCTTAAGGTTTCGCTGGTCGACAAAGCTCCATGAGTGTCAGTTTTCAACAGAAATATCTGGCCTAAAGTATGCAAACTAGTTAAATCAACATTGTGGCTAAAACCATGCTGAAATGTCGGGACTTTAAAGGGTGCGCATTAATGTATTTGGTAGGCTATGCCTGAGGAAAGCACTCTAACATCCTTCAGGAGGACATTATTATTTAGTTAAACAAAAATGTACTCATATAAGTAGAACTTAAGGCCTCTGGCATAGCTGTTGGCACCTTTTTTCAATTCAGAGTGGACCCTGGCATTTCCTAAAAATGCAGGCACTGTTGTTACAGGCTTCCGAGGTCTTTTGCAGGGCTGTGTTTTGTTGCGGGTTTGGTGATGTCATGGGCTGCAGGACCTTGCACAGGTAGATGTTTTCTTGCAGTGGAGCAGTGCCACCCAATGGCTCCTCCGGAACACGGAGATGTTTCCAGTAGGCTCCAAAGGAGGCATCCTAGGCACCTGCTGCCCTGGATTTATTGCACCAAAGCAGGAATTAGCTGGTTACTGTCACTCACTTCGCAAGCATCGAGCAGGAGCTGAAAGAATCCAAAGCATCACTGCATGCTGAAGTTGAGATGATTTTCTTGAGGCACCAGCTAACCGGCTCTTTTCCTGTGCAGGGGCTCCCGAGAGGGCCGTGTCCCACTACAGACACGCCATCCACCAGAGCCCAAACCACCACGTGGCCATGGTGAACCTGGGCAGGCTTTACCGCTCTCTGGGGCAGAACAAAGAGGCTGAAACCTGGTACAAAAGGTAGGAACCTGAGCTGTGAGACTGGTGTTTCCCTTGCCCCCACCTATGGGCTTGTCCTTGCTCAAAGGCTTCATTAAAAATTTAGGTGACATTTCAGGCTGCCAGTGTGGCGTTTGCGGTTTTTTCTCCCTGTCTCCATCCATTTGGAACTGGGTTTTCCGGTGCTTAGCTGGCTGTTTAATAGGAGTGCCCTCTGCTCTTTTGTTTTGATCCCTAAATTACCTGGAAACATCTCTCTCTCTCTCTCTCTTTTTTTTTTTTTTCCCCCACCAATATTCAGGGCATTGAAGGTATCCCGGAAAGCTGAAATCCTGTCCCCACTTGGAGCTCTGTACTACAACACTGGGAGGTATGAAGAAGCTTTGCAGGTTTATAGGGAAGCCGTGTCACTGCAGCCTTCAAACAGAGAGATTCGACTGGCGCTGGTGAGTTCAGGACTAGCATGGTTGGGGCAGGGCCATGATATACTATTGCTTTGGAAAGGGATGGCCAGTGAGGCCCAGTGGATGGCCAGTGTTAGCGTGAAAATTACCCTGGGCTGAAGCTCTGCAAAAACCAGACAGAGCATGTATCCATGCTGGCCATCAAGCAAACATCTCTCCTGTTTCCTCCTCACACCCTCCTGACCTCAGACCCTGTGTGTCAGCCCCCACCTTTCCAGCTGAGCAGGACCTGTCACGGATCAAATCTGACCTGCCCGTTGCTCGCTAGGAAGGGTTACAGCTGGGCTTGCTGGCTTTCCGGGATGAGCATTGGCTCAGGGCTGCTAGCCCCCTGCCTTGCCCCAAAGCAGGAGGCCAGGACTGTTCTCTGGGGTACAACATGGTCTATTTAAGGCAGCTGAGTCTTTAAAAATTGTAATCTTTCATAATGTGGATCTCTAGGCCCAGGTTTTAGCAATGATGGGACGGACAAAGGAAGCTGAAAAGATGACGAACCACATCCTCTACGAAGATGCCGAGTGTCTGGAGTGCTACCGCCTTCTGTCAGCAGTCTACAGCAAGCAGGAGCACTATGCTAAGGTACAGAGCAATCTGTGCTGGTGTCCCAAGGGCTCACATACAGAGCTCAGGTTGAATTTTATACTCTGCCTCTCCAGAGACGTATGTGTGTGTGCCTTAGCACACATGCAGCAGGCTTGTTTTTTTCTAAACCCTTTTGTTTATCTGGGTAATGAGACTAAAGCTAAGAAGTGTTATTTTCAAAGGTTGTGAGCTTTTACTGCTCTTACTGCTGTCAGCCCCACAGTACATCAGCCAAAAACATCTGAAACTCTCATTTCCAAATGTGATAACAATGTGGAGCAAATGAGAGAATGGAGAGATGACTTCTTGTTACTCGGGCTTCTGTGCTGGGAGATCTCGTGGTGGGTTGAGCATGAGAAGGAGATAGGAGTAGTATACAATAATACAAATCCTCTTGCTTTTTCACAGGCACTTGAAGTTATAGATAAAGCTCTTCAGCTAAAACCAAAGGATCCAAAAGTCATATCAGAGCTGTTTTTCACTAAAGGAAACCAGCTAAGGGAACAGAATCTTCTTGACAAGGCTTTTGAGGTATGAGTGCTCTGAGTGCAAAAGATTTATGGGTTCAAGAATGGAGTTAACTATTTGCAGCTAATACTCTATGCTGTATGCGCCATGGGTATTGACTTCAGGAGCTTCTTAGTTCACCAAAAGTACAGCTAAAGCCATGGAGCAGTGATGTTTTTGCCAGAGTTAACTGTTTTTTCTCATTAGAGGATTGTTTTCAGCCCCTCACTTCTGCCTTTCCTATCAGTATATGGAAATATAGCACCCTGTCTTGAGAAGTTAATGACAGAGTCATGGTGAGACCGTGGAGAAGCCAAGGCCTTGTCATGCTGACTGGAGTCTTGGTCCATCCATCCATCCCCATCCCTTCTTGCTAACAGTGACCAACTCCATGCGACTCCATAGACATGTCTAGTACTGGCCTGAATCCTCTTCTGTTGTGGTAGCATAAAAATGGTGCTATTTGTCAGAGTCCAGAAGGTTCTTGTTGCTTCTTCTGCTGTATAGACAGAAGCAATGGGGAGGAATTGCACTGCCCCCAAATGCTTGTGAAGCATCCACTGTGGTGGCTGTACCACAGGTCTGCAGCCAGCTCCAGATTTAAGCCTTGCAAATAAGGAGCATCCCAGCCCACACACTGCTTGCGGGAGGCAGGCGCTTGGTGGTGGGAATGTCCTTGACATGCAGAACACCCCCACGTGCCCGGCAGCAGGGACAGGGTTGCAGATGTGGTGTGGTTCCTCATGTGATGCAGTGGGCATGGCAAAGCTGGTGAGATGAACTCATTGGGGAAAAAGTACAATGTGTCATCTCTACTAAAAAGAGTGAATTTCAACATGTATATTGTATAAAAAAGAAATTGAAACTATGTTTTAAATGGCTGCAGAGATCTCTTCTTTTAACTACTTTTGACTGAAGATTCAGACTTCTAACCTAAAAAAAAAATCATGTTTTTTAGAGCTATAAAAAAGCTGTGGAGTTCAACTCAGACCAAGCACAAGCCTGGATGAACATGGGAGGCATTGAACATATCAAGGTTTGAAAATTTTGCTTTTCCTTAAGCTGACAACTGCAAGGACTGCTGCTCAGGACAGAAAGCTAAACTTGCCTTAGACTGCCAAGAGCTGCATATTTGTGGACACTAAGAGACCACAACATGTTTGTCCAAATATTTGGACATATTTGATCCTGTATGTCCATAAAGGAAGAAAACCTATTTCAGCCCTAGCTAGAATTTCCCTACTAGGTTGCTTGGGAGTATATATCCTGTAATTTAAATCCACATTTTAAGGGGACAAGCAACCTGTCCATCTCTAAAGTCTTCCAGATAGATTTGTTGATCTGCCTTAGAGAAATGTCCCCATGAGTGAAATTTTAAGATTCCTCTCTACCTAGCTCACTTAATGAAGATGTCTGTCTGATGTAGAGTATTGACATGATTCTATGGAAATACATGATTATCCTTTTTTTTTTGACTTCTTTAGCCTAACAGTCACAGTGTGTGATGACCCTAAGCTGTTCTATCTATGAATAAAACTAGCTGTTTTTTTGCCATGGGTGTTTGATCTAATTTATTTAATGTGATCTTTCTCATAAAGAAGTGTTCCAAATAATTTCAAGTTTTAAAAGTTCTTCTTCCTTTGTGTAACTGTGTTCACCATTCCCAAGCAATGATCCTTTCTATGTGAATGAGATCTGTCATTTCTCTTTTTTCTTCTAGGGGAACTACGTCCCTGCCCGTAACTACTATGAAAAAGCTTTACAGCTGGTTCCAAACAGCAAGTTGCTGAAGGAGAATCTGGCCAAATTGGATCGATTAGAGAAGAGGTTACAGGAAGTCCAGGAGAAAGATCAGACATAGCATTCAGTCACCAGTGGAAAGGAACTTATGATTCTTGGAGAAGTGTGTGGTGGAAGCCTAAAAGTGACACTGAAGGAACTTAGATATGATGCAGAATTATGGAGGGCAAATTCTGGATGCATACTTGTTTGACCAAAGTTACAGGAGACACTCAGCTCATGTGGAACATGCTGGAGAACCAATGAAAACCTCCTTGTAGTCAGGATTCATGTTTAGGTTGAACCCATCTTAGTCACACAAGTAGTGTGGGTGGGGCATGTACCTTCAATATCATGGTTATTGCTGGGGAAGCTGTGGAGAGAAAGTACTCATCTGCTGCCATGAGGGCAAAGTAGCACCTCTTGTTACTCAACGTAGACTCACCTAGTCCTCATGAAGTACCACTAAGGGGCTTTATTGAAAGTGCTGCCAGGCCCTTCTGAGCTAGGAAGACAGACGTAGTGGTCATATAAAAGGGCTCCAAGGGGTTAATGTTGTGGAAACGGTGGCCACTTCTGCAGCTTGTGACTTGAAAGTGATCCTAAAGAAAGGGAAAGTAGTGTCTGGGTATCACCTTAGAAGGATGATTCTACAATTAGGACTAATGATTCTGTGAGGGAAAACTGCAGCTGAATGTTTTACTCATTAGATAGTAATTTGGTAATAATTCAGGTTCATGATAGCAGTATTGTCAAATATCACATGGCTTTACCCTTTGCTCTCTTCCTCCAGGCCAAATAATTATTACTCCGTAAAAAACCTAGAAACATCAAAAAGCAATGCGGAGCTCTGGAATTATTTGTCCTCCTGTCTAGTCCCCGGTAAAAAAAAATGAATAAACAAAAAAGCCCAACTAATGTGATCAACACAGGAGGTAAAGTAAAGCCACAAAGAGATTAGGGAAGATTTGGTAGGCTGGAAAGGTACTAAAGAGGATTTTTTATGGGTGTGCAGGGACAAAGCCCATTTATCATGGTGATAACACTGATAAAACACGTTGTCAAAGTGTTCTCACCTCCTCCCCCAAGAGATGCAGAAAATGAGCTATAGCTGCTCAGTCATAAATCTATATTTTTAAATGCTGAAGTGGGGAAATGAATTCTCTTCAGAACTGAGGATTTCATTTTTGAGCTTTATTTATTTAACTTATAAACAAATAATTAATATATTTTCTCTCTTTTATGAGAATTGGCTAGTGTCCTTCACAGCTGACCACGTGGCTGGGCAGTGACTCGTATTGTAACCAAATGCAGCACCCCCGAGGCATGCTTGAATAATTTGCTCAGATGGTATTTCTAAAGCATATGCCTGTAAAGCATGGTAGACCAACCTGTCATTGCAAGAACAGCACTTTTGCTGGCTCCAGCTGGGTTTGCACAAAAAACATGAGGGGTTGGTGGGATAGTGCCTCTTGGCTTGCGCAGCTGGTAGGTCACCAGCTTGGAGGAGGAAACCACCATAGAGCTTGTGATACTTGGGCTTGACCTTGCCTCATTCCAGCAGAACAGCAGCCCGCGGTGCGGTCCTGCCAGGGAGAGCTGGGGTTAGCGCCGTGCTGCCCTCGTGCAGGTCCGGGGGCCTCCGGGAGCTGCCGTTCCCTGCGGGCCCAGCCGAGCGTAGGGGGTTCACGGCGCCGGTGTTCGGAGGGGCCCGCGCTGGGCCGAACTGCAGGGAAGGTTTGCTGGTTGCGACTTGGGCACCGCAGCTTCCCCATGAGGGTCTCTCCATGAGGAAGGGGGGCAGCAGGAGGGCCGTCGCTCTCACTCAGAGCTCGCGGCCTCTTCCCAGGAAGGCCCGAGGCTGCTCTATGGGGACAAGCCCGGCTGCGGCGGAGCTGTGTTTGGGGCAGACCCCACACATGCAGGGAGAAGGCCAAGGCCTCATCAGAGAGGAGGGCAACGGCTCGTTTCAGAAGGTCCGTGAGCTGTAAGCTTACTCTCAAAAAGGCATGGTAAATACAGACTGTATATTCTACTAGCCATACACTGGTATGGCTTGAAGTTGCGGCCAATGGAAAATATTTTTTCAAATATAAAAGCAGATGTATTTTTTATAGCAGTGCTGTGGGAGGGAGATAACTTGTTTTTTTGTTTTCAGTTTTGACGTAAAGTTGCGTTTGTCTTTCCTGAGACACCTAGTACCATTGGTGATCTCGTTCTTGTCCCGGAGTCCAGTCAAAGCCATCCCGACCTGCTAAAACCGATGCACATGTAAATATATAATACGGCTTTGTCGAAGTTTACCATATTTTTGGAATCGTGTTCTTTTTTTTTTTTTTTTTTTTTTTTTTTGCCTGGCTTTCTTACCTGCAGAAGAATGTAGGGGGCCATCGGTCCTTTGAGGAAGGCTGTGTAGCAGGAAGGCTTGTCATGTGTTCGTCTGGAATTAGGCAGGTAACATATCCATGGAGATAGGCCCAGCTAACCTGCATTGTGGTTATATGCTGAAAGGTGGAGTCTCCACATTGTGAGCTGGGTTTACGGGAGTTATGGGGAGGGGAGGGGTCTTTAATGAATCCCACGTTCCTAATCCAGCACTTTATAGACCATATCTATGCAGGACGGCAGTCTGCAGACTGGCGGAGTATTTGGAGAACAACTCAGGCCACAAGCTACCAAAGCAGTTAAATCCTTGTGAAGATTTGAGCTCACTCCGTGTCGCACTGGCTTCCATGCTAAAATGCAATGTTTGTTCAGGACATTAACCTTGTGAAAAGTTTACTGTGGATGAGAACAACGTACTTTAGTATGAAAGGGGTTACCTCCACCAGAAGGGAACGTTATTGTGAAGATAAATAGGTGACTAACCTTGTGATAAGCTGGATATTATCCTAATTAATCATAGGAAATGGTATCTTCCTTTAGCATTGCACAGTTCATCACACCCCGCATTGTAAACACATGGGTTTCTGCCAACGGCATGGTGTTCATGCATGGTTAGCAGAGATTGCAAGTTAATAAATGGCTGATATTCCACGAAGTGGTGCTGGGGTTCATGCTGTGTCTGCGCGGCATTGGCTGAACCTCAGCGCTTGTATGGATGCTCAGCAATATTGAAGTGGAGAATTAACACAGAGTTGGTTAGACAGGACTCTCCTGTAATCACTATGCATTTCAACTGTAAATGAAAAACAAAGCAACTGTGTTGCTTTTTCCTTTCCTTATGAATAATAATTTCAGCTGATGTATTTTATTTTCGTGTCCTGCATCCATTCCTTCCTTGCTTCCATTCCTTTTCCATCTCTCAAGGTGAATGATGCAAGGAGGGACATTTTATGTCTCTCGTAGATTGTTTGGACTAGATTTTCCTAAAAATGTGCAGGCAAGTTGTTTTGGCCTGCCAGGGAGTGAACGCAGCGGCGAAAACAGCCTTTACTCCAGCAGTGTGGATGAGGATGGGGAGTGCACACACAGGTGTGTGTCTCACACCACGTCAAGCAATCCCAAATGCAGAGCCCGGCTTGCAGGGGAGCCTGAGCATACCTGGCACGTGGCAAAGGCTTCTCAACGTTTGTGGAAGACAGGCCAAATACGGGCAGCCCTCTTCAGTGAACGAAGCTTGTTTGCATCCTAGTTTTAATAAGCAGCACAATTTATGTAAGGCTAATTGTACGCTCTTTTTCCCCACTTGTTCTCCAACTCGGTGAAGCAGTTGGCGTGTGCTTAAGTCTCCTCAAACTGTTCTGTGTATTAAATTGACCACGTGTTCAATTTCTGTTTTTTACACATGAAATTGTGTACAATCTTTGGAAGAATTTAGCCCTTAAAGTTTTTTTTCCCCAAATATGCAGTTTCTTGCAGCAGTTCTAAAATGTCTCATTTTGCTTTCATGTACATTTAAACCCATCAGGAAAAAAAAA